AAAAATGCTCATAACTTGAACATTTCTCATTGAAATCGCTTCAAACTTTCTACACGGTATTAGGACATCAATACGTATCGGAAAATGTAATAAAAATTTGGGGTCATTTTGGAGCCATTTTTCAGAAAAAACCATGGGCTATAATAGCCTTGGGTAATTTTCAAAAATTGGCCCGTTTTAGAAATGCTCATAACTTGAAAAATTCTTATTGAAATCGCCTCAAACTTTCTACACAGCATTAGGACATCAATATGTATCAGAAAATGTAATAAAAATTGGGTGTCATTCTGGAGCCATTTTTTGGTACCAGCCGCCTACAACACAATATTAAATATAAACCCCACCCATCAATCATTATTAGCCACACCCCTCACCTTCCCAAATAATGTATTCTTATTATTAAGTTCATCAGTTCTTCCCAGCGTTATAAAGAACTGTGAGGTATTATCATTCTTTCCTCTATTGGCCATCCCCACCAGACCACGTCTATTGAACTTGAGTCTCTGATGAAACTCATCCTGTTAATTAGAGTGGGCGTGGTTAAAGGGTTGTCATGGTAACAATGGACTCACTTTAAATGGCAAACCATAAATAGATTCACCACCTGAAGAGAAGATAAAAAGTATTTGAACAAATAATTATTAATAATTAATACCTTCTCCTGTACCAGTGGGATCACCACCTTGAGCTACAAACTCTAGAGAAAGAGAGACAGAGACAGAGAGAGAGATACAAATTACATGTACATGTAGGAAAGCAACGTAACATCAATAGATCATTCTACTTAATTAATAATCATAACTCCACCCACTAATTAATAATAATTAATCCATTACCAAAAACGACTCTGTGGAATATGGTATCATTATAATAATCTTCTAAACACAATTGTATGAAGTTACGACAGGCCAGAGGAGCCTCTTTGGACCACAGTTCAATATCAATATCACCCAGTGTGGTCTTTAATGGTACCTGAGGGGAGGGGCCAGTAGTCACTAATACAGCTGCTGCTGGATTAACTACCTTTCCTTTAGTAGGGGGCTCTGTTATATATATGGAACTCATTTCTGGAGCAGTTGAGCTCAAATCACTGAAATCAGGAGTTCAGGACTACTTTCCGTACATCTACTCAGTATATTCAAATCACGTGTTTCAAGAAATTAATCATAATAATAAT